GTTTGTGTACAAACTAATACAGTATCAGAATTTTACATATTTATACTTCTCATTTAACCACAATTAAATTCACTCTATCTAGGAGGCACTATTTATATGGATAATATTTATTTTTTACAATAACAAGCTGGAATGAAAACAAGCAAAAATGAAATAAAAGTAATGACTTTCTACTTCTTGCCTTTTTAAATGTAAGGAGTAAGTACAGATAATTGTGTGAAAATGCAAGAAGTAGAAGTAAAAAGTAGGCTAAAAAATAATTACTCAAGTAAAGTACAGCTACTCAAAAAATCTACTTAAGTACAGTAACAAAGTATTTGTACTTCGTTACTTTACAACTCTGAAGAGATGCAGCTTTGACCTTGGCTGTGACACAGAAAGACGGACATGTAAGCATCAGTTTCACTTTGAGCATCTTCAAAGTGATGTTTCTTTAAAGAGACCACCCACACCCGACTTAACCCCCCGTTTCCACCTCTGCCATCCTGGGCCAGAGATTCCGCTCTTGTTTCCACAAACACACAGAACAGGATGTGCTCAGCCAGCTGAAGAGGATTTGGTGCCTCTGTCAACACCCATAAGCAGCATGACAGATAACTTGGGATTAACGGATTGTTCTATCATCGCAACGTGACAGGAGAAACAGCGAGAAGACACTGTCGTTTATGCACTAAATTGCTTCTCCAGCCCGGGAGACCGCCACCAGCCTCCGTTAATGCACCCAGCTTCTCACGAGGCAGGGCGTGTTCAACAGGCCCACCAATACTGTTCCTTAATTCGAAAAAAATCAAGGCCYTGAGCAGGCTAGAATGATGGAATCGAACGCTACATGGGGCCTATCGCGCCTGCGGCAACACTAGAAATGTGACGGTGTGGGTGACCTTTAAGAGAAGGTGGCCATACTTATAGCTGTCCAGGAGAGTGAGAGGATGTTTGCCTGAATAAATAGCCTCCATAAGAAGCGGGTTTCATTTGTTAGAGTTGCTGCCTTCAGGGATCGAACAAAGCAGAGAGAAAAAAAAGGTGAACACAATCAAAAAATCAATGCATAAGGCATGACCTCAACCAGCCATCCACAGGTAATTAAAGAACAAGTCAAGAAGGCAAGAAAGAAGAGAGGAAGCAGTCAAGCATGATAAGAAACACACTTTAAAGCTTGTTGCACATGTGTTTTATACTGATCTTACCAAACCACAGGATCCAGTTAGAGCTGCTTAGCTTTGCTAACAGAAAACCTTATTTATAGGTTTGAGGAAACTGGAGAAGAGCAGCATGAAATTGCCAAGCAGTTGGCAAACTGCGACCATTGCTAAGGAAAGATTATGAAGCTCCGTCTTATCTGCTTTATGAGCACTGTCCACCTGGACAGGCGGGTGCGATCCATCAAAATAGCAGCTGGTCATAACCGCACACTCTGACATCACAGAAATACACTCACAGTTGCAAACACAAGTAATCTTCTGTTATCTTTGCAGCGAGCCCTGATAACAGACCTGAGTGACTGGTACATTGAGTCCTGCTGACAGCCCGGCTGAAACCTGAGTTTCTCCCGGTCGTGTCTGTCCCTATAACTGATGGGGGGGCTCCACCGAGGCACAGTCCCTTTAACAACCCTGTCACAGCTCTCTCCAAGGTCTCGTTAGCATCCTGGGTGGGGTGGGGTGGGG